GATTCCTTCCATTATGCTTATTTTCTTGGTATATGGATGTAGTTAAAACATAGTCTCTGGTTGATGTTGACTGAATCCTGCACAGTATATGTCACTTTGATTTGTTGCATACTCTGCTACAGTTTAGGGATCTTTCATTCTACTGAAAAAAAATTCACACTGCAGTCTCCTTCATTTCTGAATAGGCAACTGTAGAAATTTTTGTTTATTGTCTTGTGTTACAGTTTCATAGCGAAAAACTTGTTTTAGGAAGTAATTTGGGAGGTTGTTCTTAGTGTGTGCATTTGCTAATGGGTTTTTCTACTCCTAGTGCCAATCCAGTTCAGGTTTTTTGGGGACTTAACTTCCTGACTTCTTTCTCTATTTCTTTCTGTGTGTTTTCATCAAACTTATGTCAGACTAAAGTCCATATTTTGTTGTGTTCTATTTTTCAACTTTATCTACTAATGCTTTATTTCCAAAAGCATCTCCTTTTGGCTCTAGAAAAGATTGACCAATATTGAAGTGTGTCCAAGAGCTCTCAGCCTCACTTGTGGAACATTTCTACCCATCTTCCATGATTAACAAGCATTAAAACACAAACACATGCACATTAAGTTGGGATTTGTTATTTGTCCATTAGCATCAAAGGTCTCTACAAAGATGGATGAAAGCAAAACACTCCATGTAAGTCAGCTATCTGCTGAGATATTTTGGCTTTGAGCCTACATACATTTCTGTAGCACAGAATGGTAAACTGAAGAGGAATATAGCAATTAAGAAAACACTTTGCATCAACTCTTCCTTGAGATAGATTCCAATTTGTGAAAGTTTTGCTTTAGGCTCCACTTCAGAGGCTTTTTTATTGCTCCAGAGTGTGGAAGAACAGCATTCTCATTTTGTCTGAAAGAGGTTAGACATCCTCCAGGTGGAGCAGTGGAAGTGCTGTTAGAGCCATCAGCAGGCCTCCTCTGGCAGCTGAAGGGCCAGAGATGGGCTCACATGAGGTGGTGCCTACCTGGCCTTGGCCTGGCAGAGCCCTTAACCCTGCTCAATCATGAGATGCAGCAGGGCTGAAAGTCAGCAGCCAGACGTTATTGTGTAAACGCCAAGAGCTTTTTCATACATGCCAAGGAAAATACTATGCTGTCACCTCCAGTCCCTCCAGTGCTCATTTCTCCTTTCCTGATCTCTGGTGCTTGCGCAAGGGCAGTGTTACAGGGTGGGGATGGGAGCAGTTCAAAGTAAAACAGGACTTTGTGCTGGCTGTGTTCTGCAAAACTGACTTGAGGAGGAACCTAGGTTCCCTGACCTTGTTTTTCTACCTAAAATTTCAGAGCTCATGCATTCTTCCTCAAAGCAGTTCAGTTTTTCACTGCAAACAAGTGAGACAGTGGGCTATAAGCAGGAAGTTTACTTCATCCAAAACCAGGGTGTACCTGCGTAATGTGTGGAATTTGAGAATATGAAAGAAGCCAGATGTCTAGTCTCTGAATAACCTTTTCATTTGTACTTCCTCTCCCCTCCTCCCATTTAGTTTCCAAAACAAGCGTGTAGTAATAAAGAGCTGAAGTGATTTCACCTCTCTCATTCCTTTTACCAATCATGCTTTGAAACTTTGTAAAGCCCTTCAGCGTCTTGTGAAAATTTGGGTGTATCTGTGTATAGACAGAAAAGCATGGAAGAAACATGATTTACTTATCTAAGAAATGTGTTTGGTGGTTGTGGACTTCAGGTTAAACTTTTACATTGATGAGTACAGAACGCTGGAAAATCTATACAATTTAAAGTCTGGTTGGTGAGCAAGTGAGGGATTCACTTTAGAAAGGCAATGGTCACCATTGGATTAAATATTGCAGGCTGTAAGTGTTCATTGAGAGCAACCTATTGGAGAGTTTATTTATTTTAGACTAAAGAAATTTACTTCTTGGTATGCAATAGCTGCATAGCAGCTTGGGATAGTGGTGATTTATCACATGTGACACAAGGGTGAGGCAGCACAGCCCATAGGGATTATGACATAGTGCTGTGAATATTCAGAGCTGCTCTTTCCAAAACAGCAGAGTGCTGCTGTACCTAGAAAAGTCACAAAGGATAACTTATTCTGTGAAATGTTAATTGGAGAGGGCACTAAGAATTATTTAAATATTATTAATTTATAGAGCCAGAAGAATGTCTGAAACAAGAAAGAGCAAATGAGGAATTTCAGCCTTCAGCCCCTCTCTCTTTTGTTCACAAAAATTTGGTATCTATCTCTGACCCACCTTTCAGAAACAGGTTTTTAGCTACTTCTGAATAGTTGTGTAGGCCTGAATTATCAAAGCAAATATGCAGTAACTTGATTCTCAGTGCAGTTGATCCTTCAATGACTGGTCTGTGTACCACATAAAAGAAGTCATTTATGACACAAAAACCTTACTTGATTTTGACCTCTCTTCTGAGTGAAAGATCCTCTTTTTTTTCAATCCAGTAAATCATACCTGATAAGAATGGAGCTTTTAAAGTAGCTTCAACAAGCAGTATTCACTGAAAGGACAAAACAACAACAACAAACCAAAACCAAAACCAACCAAACAAACAACAAAAAAACAAAACCCAACCAAAAACAAAGCACCAAATTTTGTTGGGTTTTTGTTTGTTTGTTTGTTTGTTTGTTGTGGGGTTTTTTTGTTTGCTTGTTTTTTTCTATTTAATACTTTTGGCTACATCATCCATGGCATCTGTTGCACCTGCACTGAAGGCAAGAATTTTGGAAGCCAGAATTTTGGAAGCATGTGAAGTAGTCTGCAGGAAAGGAAGAGGAGATTGTTGCTTAATTTAAGTTTCTGGAGTTCATCTTATGTTACTAGGGTTCCTCCTGAGATCTGCCTGCTTGTGCACAAACAGAAATTACTCTGCAAGGTACTGAGGTGCTCAGCATAGTATGCTCTCCAAATCCATCAGAAAATGGGGAACTGTATCTGTAGAAAAGATACTTCATCCATATCTTGCTCATTCTCACACTGATGGGGAGTCTGGAGCCATATGTTGTGAGGTGCAATGTCACAGAAGCCATGCTTTGTGACTGGCTTTCTAAACCCACCAGATTTGAAAGATGCCTGTATTGCCTATTAATTTATGACTGAACAACTGTTAACTACGGCTTTTTAAAAATAGGGGCGTTCACTGAACACAGAGTGAGTATGTCTGGCAAGGAATCTGAAATCTGTTTGGGTGAAGCACAAGGTATCTGGAAAAATACTATTCCTGAGCCAGACTCTTGTCTCTGAAAAGCCTGTTGATGGTTTATTTGACACTAAATGATCACCTGACACAATTAAAAAAAAATTAATAATTTAATAAATTTAAAAGAGGAAATCTAATCTCAGGGGAAAAAAAAAAAAAAGTGATGTAAATACAGTGGATAAGCTTGAGTCTGCAATGCTTTTCATAACTGGGCTTGAACTGATTTTTAACTGCCTGTCTTGCCCCACAGCTTTCAGGACTACAGACTCTTAATTCCTAAATCAAATATCCCAATTTGAATGATACGGATTATTGACATGAAAAACACTGTGCCATCAAAATAAAGTTAGAGATTTTTAGACAAGTTTTGATGCTGTTTGGTTATAAGCCCTAGGCAAAGGGTATTTTTTTAATATATTGCCTGCAGCAGTAGCTACATTTCAGTAGAAAATCAAACAAAAAGATATGAAACACATTTATCTTTCAATCCTCTAACAATGTACCATCCTTGTAAACACAACTGTAATATAAAATTCTGGTTTATCTCAGCTGTAATGGTCCCACTGAAAGGAAAAAAACATTTGAAATTTGTTGTGAAAGTATAAGAGATTCTAGAGGAAGCAGCAATGCCAGCTTCAACTGCATTTCATTTTATGTAAAGAGTTAAAGAAACCACAGGAAGAAAAGCAGTCCTGAGGCAATTCTGGAAAAGTCATGACTTAGGATAATTCTGTACCAGACATTGCAAAAATGTTAGGCAACTCTCAACATTCTGAACTAATTACTTGTGGGAAATGGCTTTTTTGAGGTGATAATTGTCACTGTTTCTGTAGGAGCAGAGTATACAAAATGCAGTCATGCTCTTATCATGCAGAGAAGATGATCTTCAGTCTGAAAAAAAATTTTTTTTACGGGCTTACTGCAAGAATTCACTGTCCTCTGTAGCTTACTCTTGACACAACTTGAAAGAAGAGCATTTCTATTCAAGTAATTTCCTGCAGTAATTTCTGAAGGTTATTCATAAGGAATTATCATTTGGTGTGATAAGTCTGTAAGAGATTTTATAAATGAACACTTTATGTGTTAGTATCAAAACCTGTTCTGTCCAACTGAGCTATACACACTAGAGTACCTGTAAGTCATCATCTGAGTAGTCCTGACCTGCTTTAACCCAAGAACTTCTTATAGTTTGGAGGGTTTTTTGAGAGGTTGCTAAAGCCCCAAATTGAATCTTAATCTGAATTCAAAATTAATTGGAAGTATTCAGCCTCTCCCCACACTGTTTCAACCACTATTCTTACCATATCCAGCTGTTACAGCACTTTGTTAGAATTCTGATTTGTTTCTAAGTTCAGATGAATAAATTAGACTTCATTACATGTTTCACTATGAATTGAACAGACACAAAAAAAAGCCAGAGACTTTAATGACTTATTTACATTTTCTAAGTAAATTGTGATGGTATTCTGTATATCAGTTTTATATACAACTTCTAAACACAAATGATGCTACAGAGCAGATTGCCAGATTGTTATGCTTCAGTGCCATGTCTTGATCCAAGTAAAATAGGCAATGTGTGACCTACAGCCAACCAAAGGCTGTCCAGGCATGTGCATAAACAGGAGGTAGGAGCTGCAAAGTAGAATTGGAACAGCTGTGTTGGTTTCTCATTTACATCAATTTGTGATCAGACTTCTGTACTAGCTATTTTGGTTCTGTATGAGACCACATGTGCTGTATTGGTAGCAAGGTCAACCTGTGCATCTCTCTGTTTTGCTTTGTGTTTTACCTCTCAGATTGGTACAAGAGGATGTGGGAATGGACATCCCATTTGCTGAGGATGTGTTAAGCCCCAGTTCTGCAGAGATGAGACCCGGTAAGAGAAGCTCTTACTTATTTTGTTAATTATATCTTATTCACTGGGCATTTAACTATGCAGTGAGAAGGTTATTTCTGTGCTAGTAAAGAGACAGTGAGTTCAGTGTTAATAAGGTGTTAAGTTTGCTTTATTTAGTCAGTTTTCTTCTTCACTTAAGAAATTATAATTGTAGTATGCCATTTTCTCTTGTGCATTGGTGTCATCACCATGTTCAAGTAGTCTCTATTATTTATCTTATATTTCATTACTAAGTGAACTAAGTTAGCATTAGAATACTTCAGACAGAACAGCTTGAAATGTACTACACAGTGCAGTGACATGGGGCAAAGCCTACCTAGCTTTTGTCTTGATGAGGACTGCTTTTATTTAAGACCAATTAAAAGACTCAGATGTATTTGTATTTCTGTTACTGTATTGAATAAGATATTACATTGTGAAAACTAAAGACATATATACTTGCAAATCAGCACTTTTCAAACAGCAGCAAGTGTGTAACAGAGAAAATATTTACAGGGCAGTTTCACTTGTATGAGTTTCTCCAGGATTCAGAAATGTCTTGGTTCATAACTCAAATTATTTGTATAGAGCTCTTTAAAATCTTAAACATTGTGTGACAGGGTGTGTCCAAGGCTTGATTTTCATCTGATGATTGCAAAAAAGTGAATGTGGATTTTTCATAACTTAAGAACTCTGAGCTACAGCTGCTATTCCTGTAGATGCTTGGTTGATTTCTTTAAACATTAATGTTTTAAGTTAGGTGATCTTAAATGGCTTGGTGTTACTAAGATTGAACTGTCCTAGTGTGTTTTAAGGTGATTCTCAAGTATCTGGGAGATTAATTGTAGGCAGAGAAGTTAGAGTTATTTTTTTCTTCCTCTGTTTTCAGAACCTCCCAATTCTCTTGATCTTAATGGTTCCAATCCCAGAAGAATAAAGCTCACTGCCCCAAATATCAATCTCTCTTTGGACCAAAGTGAAGGGTCCATACTTTCTGATGATAATTTGGATACACCAGATGAAATTGACATCAATGTAGATGACCTTGACACTCCTGATGAAGCAGACTCTTTTGAATACACTGGACAAGGTAATGTCCTAGATTGTGAATATAGAGTTCATCTCTGTTTATTTCTTTACTGCTTACATGATCAGTCGTGTGTCTGTCAGGCTGTGAATATGGTTAAAACGTGAGCATCAATGCTGTGTTCAGGTATTTTTTTCTGTCTGCTGTTTTTTGACCATTCTTCCCCTGTGTAAAGTGATACATTTTTTGTAATACGACATGCTGAAAGAAATACTACAGGTTATCAAAAAAATAAGAAATGCTACCTAGAGAGAGAGTACCATTTGAAGTCCGTTTCTTGCCCAGTACCGTAGGACTTGCCTGAGAAGAGCTGTTCAAAAGCAGAAAGCAGGTCCTTTCTGTTGTAGAGAACACGATAGCTAACTGCACCTTCATTCTGCTCTGGCCAGTGCTAGATTACAGTTAAAGTAGTACTTAGGGGTATAACTTTGTGCAAAACATGTTGGCTGACATAAGCTGTACCAAGGAGCTTGCAATGCAGTGTGGTGAGGCATCATTTGTTGCTGAGAAAGGTCTTATTTTTATTACCATGTGTGGTTGGAAAGCTGATACGTGGAAGGCGTGTGCATGGCATGTTAAAGCTAGTTTGGGTAATGGAATAACAGAATTCCTCATTCCACAAATTTAAATATGCTTTCTCTGCAGGGCTAACTGTACAGTGTAGATGCACATTGAAGTGTGCAATGGATACTTCAGTCTTCCTTTGCTATTAATGTTACTCTGTCATGTGGGGTAACATTGTTTTCCACTGTATCACGCATTTTACTTACCCTCATAATATTTGAAGTAGAGAGTTAAGGTTCATTCCATTCTCTTCTGAGTGTACAAGAATAGTTGCATCAGTTTAAGTGATACTGCTAAAGAGGCATTACTGTGTACTGAGTCATGCACGAGCCGCTCTACTGTCACTCCATTAGAAGGCCAGTTTCCTTAGGGATATAGGCAGAGCATCATGATGCGTTGCTTGGTGGTTAGAATATTTTGTAGCAAAGGGCAAAACTAACACAGGCATGTGCACACTCACACACTCGCACAGAGAGCAGCGTGTGCTTCCAGTTTTAGACTGTTGACACCACTGTGTGAGAGCAAAAGTCTTTGTATGTAGTGGAACAGATTTTGCCTTTAAGCCCTCAAGTAAATTAATTCAACTCCAGTGATTTTGGTGGCAGTTATATTTATGGCAAACACTTCTCTCCAGGTTTTTTGGTTTTTTTTTTCTTTCTAAATGTGATGATTTATTCAATTACTAAAGTTGGTCTAGTTTCCCCAAACTCCTAAGTGAAGAAGAGCTTGAGGTGCCTGTGTTTTGGTGACATTTTTACAGTTCTGTAGTTTGATTTTAGACATACTTAAATCGGCAAAATGTCATCCGCTGAGATGACCCAGGAACAACATAGAAAAGAAAAGCAAAAATCACACTTGATCAAAATAAGTAAGGTATTAATCTTTTAGCTAAGAATATAGTCATTAGAACTAGTGCAGAATGGTTTATTTGTGTAGTAAATAGCATTTGTTATCTTCATACTTCTGTCACTCTACTGTTAACCCTGTGCACTCTTGCTGTTACCAACATTCATTCTCCCACAGATCAGTGTTTCTGAACTGTTGTGCTGAACCCCAGGGAAGTAAATACTGAGAAGACACAGCTATTGAGACTGTGTTGAGAACAGTGATTTTTAGTTCACCACCCTCAGACTGTTGAAGGTCCATTTGAACTGTAAAAGGCAGCTGAGAAAAGCAAGACTATTGCTGTGACCCAGGGGTCCACCTCATTGCTGGACAACCAATGGCTCTGTAATGCGAGAGATTCCGAAAACTGTTTGTTGAAAAGAAGGATGATAAAGAATCATCAAACTGCACGTGCAAGAAAACAGATAAGAGGGGAAAATACTACAGCTCTTGTCTTAAACTAGCTCCTGACTTATTTAGGGATTGTTCAATCATTAGATTCACAGGACATTTTTTTCATCACTAATTCCTTACATTTAAACATTGTCTTTCGGAACCTGCTCTCGTTTCTAAACTTTTTGTGGTTATCATCAAAAATGTGTTTCTGAAAACCATATGTGCCTCCCCCAATAACAGTGTCATTTGGAATATAAAAGTGAGTTTATTATTTTGTCTGCAGTTGTTTATTTCCTTTCTTAATTTCACACTGGTGCACCTTTCAGTGCAAAATCAAGACACCAGGCAGTTAAGCATAGCTACTTCTTCAGGAGGAGGTGATTTAGTGCCATTTCTATAAAAATTAGTTCATTTTGCCAGTCCCAGCTTTGTAAGTTTTCCCAGAATCTCTTTTCATCTTTTTCCATCATTTGTAGTTTCACAAAAAAAAATAATTTAAAAGCTGCCAAACCCTGAATGCAATTTCAGCATTAGTCTCACAGTGACTTAGGCAGCATGTTTTCACTAAAAGTGTTCTGCCAGCTGCAGCTTTCTCCCTCAGTCATGCTCTCTCAACCCTCTGAGGAGCCAACTGATCAGACAGTTTTTCTAGGCTGTTCTGATAATCCCAGCTATCTGTTCTGAAAGCACTTGAGTGCATAATGACATCCCATGGAGACCCCGTGTTCTTAACGGAATGGATCACCCTGCAATGGCCTGTGAAAGTTTCCATAGCTTGACTGCATGCGTGTAGTTTTCATTTGTTTCCCTTTTACAAGATTAGCATCACACAAAATTGCGTTGTTCTCTGAAGGAGCAAGGTTATGCATTGTGTAAGCTTGTTCCCAATGTCACAGAATATGTGGTATTTTCGAAACTAAGTGCTAAGAATGTCATTAAACTTCATGAGCAATGTACTCTGAGAAGACATGAATACATACTTCAGTTCCACAGTATATAATCTACTGAGCAGCAACTGTTAAACCAGTTTGAAATAGTATACTTGTAAGTAATCTCCTTTTGCAGTTTGTTCTTTTTCCCAACCTTAGATTTCCTCAAACTGCCTTTATTTGCAGTTCCTAAGAAAAAACGCTTATATGTTCACCTTATATACACACATGCATGTATTTCTTGATTTTTCATCCCTGTTTCCATCATTACTGCAATTTTACTTGAATATGTTTTTAACTCATTGGCTTGTTAGGCAGTGAGGAAGGAGGCTAAATATTACTGCTTTCTGGCAAGATTCCAACAGGCAGAAATTAGGTGAAGAATTGGTGACAGACTGTGCTTTTGTTGCACATGGGAGAATCTGCCTCAGAGAGAGAGACCTTCCAACAGTATTATCCCCTACTAATACTTTTATTAAGGACAGAAAATACAAGACACGCAACAGTAGAAGTTCACACTTCATTAAGTGCTAAGTGTTAAGCTAAACAAAGCAAAGACAGCTAAAGCTTCTCAGTTTTTTTCCTAGTTTGTCACTGATCTTTTCACATCTAGCACCAGCAAAGAGGAAGGAAACCCATCTTCCTCTCCTTCAGTCATGAGATAATACTAACTTCTCATGTATCTCAAGCAAAGTATTTGGCCTTCATCAGGTCCTTTCAATTGAGACTAAATACCAGCTTCCTCCCAGAAGTGAAGCACAGAGCAGCCAAGCAATCTGGCCTGTTCATACCAGCACCCATGAGAGAACATGTACATGCAGTTCATGTAGCTGTCTTTGCTTAGTCTAGACAAGAAGCACCACTATACTCACTTTTAGTGCCCTATTCTGCTTTTTAGTATAGTTCTCATACCTGCAACACAGATTCTTAAAGGCCTGCAGTTCAGTATCTCTAATGAGTTGCTGACCAGTTTTACTGGACGATTGCAAAAATCCCATGGGGTACTCTGCGTAGTAGTAATTGCTGCAGTTCTTTTTTGTGTTCATAATGATGAAAAGTTTAAAAAACCCAAAAAGCTTCTCACTTACTGTCTGTTAGATGATCAGATTCTGCTGTTATTTATACCAGTGCAAATCCAGGATAGTGCTGTAAAAATCCCATTGATTTCAGTCATTCGTTTCAAAGGTATGTAATAGAGAAAATATTTAGAGATTTTACAGGAAGATACAACATATACAATTTTGGTTTTCAGAAGAGCAGACAACTACTAAGGAGGCTTCCCAGGAGGAGTCTGAATCAATTCCAGAGTACACTGCTGAAGAGGAGCGAGAGGACAACAGATTATGGAGAACAGTAGTTATTGGAGAGCAAGAACAAAGAATTGATATGAAAGTCATTGAACCTTACAAAAAAGTCATCTCACATGGAGGTAGGAAAACCCTGAATGCATTTTTAGATTGATGTAAAAAAAAAATCATTATTTAGTGAGCCTGATTTTTTTTCTGTTTCAGTTCAATTAT